TTACACTCATGGTGTGAGCAATCAAACACCACAGATGAAAAATCTCCTTAACTTTGGCTGACACTGATTTGCAGTAAGATCACCAACTGAATTTGAACAAGGGTTCCCCACTTTCAAGCCCAACAGTCTACTTAGGTACCACACTGACTTTTTTATATTAATATCAAAAAAAATCAGCCCTCTTCTCCCAGACCAGAATTCACCACTTCTACACATTATTATTCTATAAAATGGGTTATTATGCAATAGTTTTATCTACAATGTACAGAGGCTGAACTGGGATAATTACATTAATCAAAACACAATCGGCAATGTACATTAAAAAATTCTCAATAAATAAATAATTTGAACACACCGATGTAGGATGACAAACGAATAATGCAGTTTCTTAACACTGCTAGTGTGTAACTCCAAATGGGAACCAGACTAAGAAGTGATTAAAAACACCAGCTAGCTGGTGACAATTACATACTAGGAATTACATGCTAGGAATATGAATAAAAGAACAGAGGAAGACTTTTTTGTCAAGGGCATATTGTGGAAGACGGGTTCGGAACATGTCAGTTCTGTCAGCGGATCTGAGAGGAAGGAATGGGAACCACTATTTAAGCATATTTTCTGTAACTTTCTTTAAAATCCACTGAAATTAACTTCACTGATTGTAAGCTAATGAACCACATTTGCCTTTTTGCTTGCTCAGAGAACTGCAAAATATAATTGATGATCCAGTTTATTAACTTTTGCCTGCAGATGAACAGGATATTCAAGTAGTATTATAAATAAGGCCTCATTTTAAAAATGATAGGATTTCTTCCAAGCCATCAATTACTTAATACTGGCACATCCTGTCAGTTCACTACCATGCAAATCATCCTACCCTTGGACTGGAAGCCATGATTTTGAGGGGTTCATCCATTTGTAAGTGATGTGTATAACATAACGTTCCTTAAAATGTTTAACAACAGTAGTGCCACCAAATGCATGCAAGGTTTATTCGACCCTATGCCTAAAATTGGTAACAGCTTGCATGGTATCAAGTTCTTCTGCTACTTCCTAAGAATTCATAGCATACTTTTACTAACTCCACATTGAGAGTTCTTATTTATGGCCACTTATGCATGGTTTGACAAGCTTACTTCTTACCTATCTGATCAATGGACACGTACTGAGACTACATAAAGCAGACAGTTATTAAAAAAATTAGAAGCACTTAAGGCACTCTACTATTGCTTATCAAGTAATATAATATTAAAAATAACTGTTTTGTACACTACTGATGCAACAGTGCATTCTATCTGTAGAAAGTCAGATGTGTGTTGTTTAATATGAGGGAACAGAGTCTCTCATCAATAATCTGAAAGGGAACAGCTTAGAAAAAAATGTGAGTGTTCTGATCATGCATTTCATTTCTCATATGCCACAATCTCATCTTCCAAAGCAGATTTAACATTTAAAGTAAACATTTACTTGGTCTACAAAAATAAAGCCAAAGCAGCCTTCACAACTTATGTTTTTAAATAATGAGATCTACTTAAAGGCTACTAATGTATTTAAAAATTCTGCTTACCTTAAAGCAGAGTAGACTCCTAAAGACAGAGAAGAATAATCAGGATCGTAGTAGAGATACACAGAAGAGACACACTTTGGAAGGATGTCGATGACACCTACAGCAACTATCCTTCCATCCACCCAATATTGCTGGTGAAAAGAACCATAGCCACAATCAGGGCCATTTGGAGGATTTTCTGCCTAGAGATTACAAATTAGAATATATTTATCTAACTTTTAATCATTCATTTATCAGCATTTTCAATCATTAACAGGGGGGGAGGAACAAAAAAATTTAGCACAAAATTCAAGTCCAGTAGCACTTTTCCCCCACCCGTCAAGTCACAGCTGACTTATGGCAACCCCCGGGGGTTTTCAAGGCAAGAAGTGTTCAGAGGTGGTTTGCCAATGACTGCCTCCACATCACCACCCTGGTATTCGGGCTAACCTGGGCTATCCAGGCCCAGTAACACCTTGAAGAGCAACACATTTTTTCCAGGAGTATAAGCTTTTGTGAGTCAAAACTCACTTTTGTTGGACGTTCTGGTTTTAGATGTCATCTGAAATGGTTTTGTATTTGTTTTCCTATTTTTAACTTATTTAAATCTATGTATGATTGTATCTTTTGAATGTTGTATACCACCCTGAGCCACAAGTATGGGGGAGGGGAGTTTAGAAATTGAATTTATAAATAAAGAAATATTTGACTCATGAAAGCTTATACCCTAGAAAATGTTGCTGTCTTTCAAGCGCTAATGAACTAAAATTTTGTTCCACTACTACAGACTAACACAGCTACCTAACTGAAACTATCAAAATTCAGAAAGGCCAATACACAAACGTGGCCTATTTTAATTATGGTTAGATTTTCAAACCAAGATTCATCCGAAAGATGATCAAGCCTCCTGGAATATTTAACTGGAATATCTACCACAGGATTCCACTCACAAAATACATACAGGTGAAATGATTTCAATAAACCTTGCTAAACAGAAAAAGCAGGTGTGATGCTAACTCAGATAGATCAGATATAAAAGGGGAGAGAGTTGCAAGAAGCACTTCATATCTCCAAAAACAGCCAGCAGGGAGTCTTGAGTAGAAGTACATGTGGAAAAGCAGTTCTGTTTGCTTTCCGTCCACCCCACCTCCCATCCATTGTTTCTGCAGAATAAGTGTTAACAAGGTATTTTTGTACTTTGTTGCAGAACTCAGGTAATCAAAGTAAGCAGGACTTCAGTAGAGTTGTTTTCTTCCTAGAAGGGATGCATGGAAAGAGCATGCTGAGTCACTGTGCCTTTAAGACAGGAGAGAGCATAGTGGAGAGACACAGGCAGACTCAGAACTGAGATGGGGAGATGTCTTCCACTAATGAGAACTGGATAAAGGCAAGACCAGTTGTGATGCTGTAGGTGGGGCAGATGTGGAGTGTCAGTGGGAAACAAAGTAAAAATAAGCCACAATATATAATACAGATCCACAGAACCTTTTTCCACTTCTCCACCAAATTTACCAAATTTACCATCAATCCCTCCCCCCATTTTCTGTATTTTTTCCCTGGGCCTGCACATCTTCTCCATGATAGACTTTAAAGAGAAAGTCTTATAGAAATCCAGGATTTGTAGGGAAGATAACTGCTGTCAGTGGACAGGGAACTGGGGTAAAAGGGGTGGAGAGATTAAGAAATTAAGGGGCTGACCATGTGAAGGACAGAAGTGGATTGGAAGGGATATGCTCTGGCATAGTAATGGAACGTTACAGACATGTATGCTCATTTAACAGGACAAGAGCCATTAAATAAATTTATTACAAATGCATATAGAGCAGACTGATGCGCACTTTTCTGAATACAAGTACTAAAGTACACAGGTCACACTAACAGTGAAATTGTACAATGCTTCCCTAAAGGGCATGGATTCCTATAAAATCCTAGGAGTCATTACAAGTCCTTTCTCTGGGTAGAGGAATAAGCTGTTATTTATATTTATAAGCTACATTGCTATGTTCAGGCACATTTGTGTTCTTCTTTAAGAATCTAGGGCTAAAACTGAAGAATCGAATACAATCAGCTTAAAGCTACCTTGTGGAAGGCAAGGGACTTGCCTTCTGCAGTTTCTTAAAAATTCCAAAGAAAACCAGAACCTAGTCACATAAGGTTTAATTTTTCTTTGAAATTATCTGTGGTAGAACCGGGAAAGAGGCTGAACACTCTGTGCCTAGCAAGTGAAGTTTGTTTTAATACAAAGAATTTCAAAAATCCTTTTGGCCTTGGATACGCAACCCTTTTTATTTGGCTTCATCTAATTGAAAACATGTGCAGGTAGTGCCACACAAAATTCAAGATTAAAAACATCAATAAAAAAACTCAGGGGGGAAAAAACCCTGGCATAAACCTTACACGAAAATGTACATGAGCATCCATGTAGTGATACAATGCAAGGAGTATAATGGGAATCTGGTGCTCAGCTTGACGAGATGATAAAAGTTCTTTCCCTTATTAAGTCTAATGATCCTGCTTAGCCTTCAGCTTGCTGGAATGTAAAAGGGGTGAGGGGAGATTCAGCAGAAAAGCAACAAGAAGTTTCCACACATGGCTTCATTCAAATGGCAACATATCAAATGACTGGTGCAATTACTATAACCTGACAATTTCATTACATTCATGTGGTAGTTAACTATTTAAGACCTACAACAAAGAAAGTCCTCTTAGCCATTAGAAATGAAGTAATCTGAAGTTTCGGCCTTAAAAATTATGCACTGGCACCAGCATTTATGTTTTTTTTAAAGCACGGAACAAAGTTGCAAATTTTAGGCTTCTTTGATTAATACCCCCATTTTTAAAAGGAAAAGAGCCCCCCAAAATAAAATGTTTCTTTCTACATAGCAGAGAGAACGTTCTGTTAGGTAAATTCAAATTGATCTTTTGAAAAGTAATACAAAATAGCACAACAGAGACTTGTTCTCTTAGCCATCCAAAAGTGACCCAGATAGAAGAGGTTAACATATATGCACTGAATAAACACTCCGTAATGGTACTAGGATTCACCATATACTTGCAGATTAGCTGTGCCTTCTGAGCACATTTAAACATCTGCCTTAGGGCTAACGCCTCCAATACACCAAGGGCAGGAGACATCATCTCTAAATAAATGTTCCCTTGCCATGCCCATGTGTATGATTTAAGTTGCTGAAAGAGAATGAATATAACATGTGAATGAATTAATATAACATGTGCCTGCTTTTCTACTGATACCTAACCTCATGAGGGCTCCATGTGTTTCTGATATGCTCTTCCTTATGAACTGCTTCCACTGCTGGATATCACAAAAAGCAGTCTTTACTATATATTCTGGATTAGTACCAGTCAAGACTCACTGCAAAAACCAGACACCAGCATACTGATCCAATATCAATGGGCTTCAAATTGTCATGTTATGCCTAATTCAGAAGATCAGACATAGTCAGGGGTCATTTCCTGCAGGAGTGTGCAGGAGCGGAGCTCCGGCAGTAAAAAGCGCAGGGGGCGGGCACATGCAACAAGCCCCACCCCCTGCTCCTAACAGCCCTCAGACAGAGCAAGAATCAGCCAGGTAAATTGCAGAGCCCCCTGGCCCAAAACAGTCTAGTGGCACCTTTAAGACCAAGTTTTATTCAGGTACAAGCTCTCCCTCCTCTGCAAGGACAGATCTGCATGTTCCCCCCCCCCAAAAAAAAAATAGCAATCCAAAACAGTCCAGTGGAGCCTGAGCGGTGGGTGCTGCCTTATGACACACTTCTGGTGATGTCAGGGGGTGTGGCATATGCAAATAAGTTATGCTAATGAGTTATGCTAATGAGCTCCTGCACCTCTTTTTCTACGAAATGACCCCTGGACATAGTACATCTAATCATGAAACCAAATGCCACATTATAAAAGGAAAGCCAGTAGGGAGAGGAGAATGGAACATATTTCGGAAGTCACTTATGCAATACAGGTTCAAAAGGCAGCAGTTCCAGGGAAGTGGAATCTAGTCAATGGATTTTTAAATTCTAGAATAAACTTGGTAGTCTTTAAAGTACCATAAAATTCTGGCTTACTGTTTTTCTTCAGATTACAATTTTAACTGGATACATTTTGAATGCAATGGGAAGTAAGCTCAGTAAACAGAGAATCCGATTAATCATCTTATTATGGGAATGGGAAGTAAGCTCAGTAAACAGAGAATCCGATTAATCATCTCATTCAGTGGGCCTTAATTTATCTGACATTCTGGTTGTCCCAAGCAGCAAGGTATTCTGTGAGTAACAAATTAAACATAAACTGTATTGTTCAACACGGAAGATGGGCTAACATATCCCATAGCTATAATGCTGGAGTCAACAGCTGAAAACCGTCTCAGTCATTATGCAATACATCTGCCAATAAGAATCCCCATTCAGAAGCAGTCCAGTGAAGTATGTTAACACTCCTCCTGCCTACCACAACTACTGAATGGCAAATCTTACTGGCAGATGTACTACATACTAATACTAGGGACTACTTTGTTAAATTTGACTTTGCTAAATCTAACTTTCAACTTGTATTCAGAAGTTATTGAAGTGGAACCTTGTCTTCATTGCTTGCTTGTAATTGCTGGGCCTAAACTGCTTCTGGTGTGCTCTTCAGTGTGCACAAAGCTAAGGAAGGACTGCATTAGTTATCCTTCAGAATGTATAAATGCAATTAAAGTTTGTATGATAACATTTTAATGAATGCCCCAAAGAATTCAACAAATTCCATCAAAAACCAAACAGGTGCTGACTGAAACTGAACATTTAATTCTCTCCCATGTAATTACTACAGACATCAATTACATAAAAACAATGTGAACATTTAGTATTAAGATGATTTCATACCTCAAGTGGAGAATCACAGAGGAATCTTGTGAACTATATTTGGAATATTTATTGGAAGTCCAGGCCCGCAAAGATGGGTGTTCAGAATGAAATGAAACACACACAAAAGAGAGACCATGTATAAATTAGGTTTTTTTCTTCAGTTCATTAATCCCTAATACAAGAATGTAACTTATATTAATGCTTAATTAATAACAAATGGAATATGTGGATCAAATTTACAAATCATATTGAGGTTACTTCTCCCCTGCCCCCCACCCCTAGAAATAACAAGGACAACAATTTCTGTATGAATAATACAGAACATCAGCTTTCATAAATTTCCCCTCTTAGAAACCTATTTTGGTGCTTTACTGTATGAAGATGGCTGCGTATCTGATCTATAACCAAGCTCACTTTAGTATTGCTTACTGGGCCTAATAAACTTATTACCAGGCAGTCACAGAGATGCTGTTGCAAGGCTACAATATGGCTCGTAACGACTTTAGAGCCTGACATTTTTAGAAGTTTAAAATTGGAGAACAGTTTATAGTGGAACAGTTATAGCGAACAAACAAGCAAAAACAACCCTTGAATGCGCTCAGAATAGAGATGCCAGCCTCTAGGTGGGACCTGGGGGTCCCTTGGAATTACTGCTTATTTCCAGACTAGAGATCAGTTTCCTTGAAGAAAATAGATGCTTTGGAGAGTGGATGCTATGACATTGTACCCTGTCCTCCTCAAGCTCTCTTCCCCAAATCTCCAGGAGTTTCCCAACCTGGATCTGGCAACCCCACCTCCCATCCCCCGCCGGTGGCCAGGGGGGACCCAGCAAGCCTAGCTCAGAACAGATCATTTTATGAAATGCACTAGATTACTGTTTTGATGTGTTTAACTGTGCCCCACTGCAGCTGAAAATGAGTTTTATGCTCATATAATCTTGACAGGGGACTTACTTTCTGATGCATTAGATATTTCCCAAAATAAAGGACAGGAACCTGGCATGCAGCCCAAGAGTACTCTGCCTCTAAGGCTCAGTCCTTAGGGAAAAGGGAAATACTCCTACCTCTCCCACTGATTCTTGCCTGCAACTGCCCCTCCATTAGTATTACAAACAGCAGACCTCTGGGGAGGCAGCTAGGGATGCCAGCCCCCAGGTGGGACCTGGAGATCTCCCAGAGGTACCTGGGGAGATGGGAGCCCATCTCCAGACTACAGAGATTAGTTTCCCGGGAGAAAATTGATGTTTTGGAGGGTGGATTCTATGGCATTGTAGCTCACTGAGGTCCCTGTCCTTCCCAGGCTAAATCCTCAAATCTCCAGGAGTTTCCCAAATTGTATCTGGCAACCCTGTCCCACCATCCCCTGCCGATGGCCATGGGGACTTGGCAACCCTAGAGACAGCATATACATTTTATAAATAAATTCATATACAGGGTAGAAATCTTGCCTTTGCCTCATTTACCACCCTAAGGCAATGTGGGCCAACTTGTGTTCAGAAGTCTTGATTAATCAAAAAAACCCTAAAATCAGCTTGATCAAAAAGGTGTGAGAGCACTGAGCTGTTCACAAGACTTAAGATGCATCAGAAGGTAACCTAAAATTATTCAGGTTGGGGTGAAAATACCCCACACTTATTCCTGTGAACACACACAATGACCTGGTTCAGATCCAATTAATTGCTGAAGCATGCATAACTTTTGTGCTACTTCCCTTTCCTGCCATGTTATGTCTCTACTAGTATAACCACAATTAACATTTAATTTAACATTAATACTGAAGTCAGTTTCTACAGTTTGTACAAAGACAATCATTTACTGCCCCAAAACAAATGGTTTTCAGTCTCTGGCTTAAAAGTGAACTGTGGTTACACCTGTGCAGACAAAACACAGGGCTATATTTAACCAAGTATATTAACCAACTGTATACTAACCAAGAAAGGTAGGAGTATGGGAATCTGTATGGAAGGAGAGGAGAACACTTCCAAATACCATGGTGAGGGTTGGCAACAGGGTTGAGTGACACCAGAGCCAGACCTTTTGTTACTTTTGAATAGGTATGCCCCCACACGTTAAAAAAATTCCTTGATCAACACCAAAGTGTCCAAGTCTTTACCGATTTACACTGCAACCCTAAGCAGAATTATATCCTTCCAAGATCACAGACTTCAATGTGGTTAGAAGGGTACAGCTCTGTTTAGAATTACGTTATTAGTGGCCTAAATGAACCAAGTGAAATATGTGAACTTTTTAAAAATGCATGTGTGGGAAGGGTTTGTTTAGTTTCCTGGGGTGGTTTGTTGTTGTTTCAGCCAATATGGAAAACTTTATGTTTCTTGAAAGCAATACAAGCACTATTTGCTTTATTCAAGACATCCTGCTGAGAGGCAGAATATAAAATCTGAGGCAGCTCAAAAATCCATAAAACATAATCACCATCACTATTGGATTGTTGATAGTTTTATCATCATTCATGCTAAAATTACAACAACAAAATCTCAAAACAGAGCCAAAACCACAAATAATCTCAGTCACTATAAATTGCAGTAATATTATATCCAAGTAGCGTACACCTTCTAGCCTACAGAGAAAGGTGACATTTATACTGCAATACTCCTTTAAAAAGTCAGTCATCTACAACTCAATTCCATCAAAGGAAAGGAATACAATAGAGTGCATTTTAGACTTCAACAAATGAAAAATACAACAAAAATTCTTAAGGCTATGTAATTTTGTTTTGGGGTTTTCTCCTACTTCAGTGTGTGCGTAGCTGAAAGCAAGATCTAATTAACCTACAAATGGATGGTAAATATTTAGACAAGCCCTTTGACAATCAAAAAGCAGACTTCTATAAGCCTTAGCCATTGCCCAAAGACAAGGGAACAGTGTGATGTCTATAGTTAGCCCTTTCAGAATCATTCACAGTCAAGGTGTTCAAGAGCCTGAGTAAACTGCAGCTTTACAACTGAAGCATGGGAAAATTGTACATTCCATTATTCTAATTATATGTTTAAATTCTGAAAGGAATAATGCAGTTTCCAAAGATCCACTTAGATTTAAGAAGACTGAAGGGGAGTTTGTACACTACTTGCACTGCTTTGCTTTTATCCAGATGTGGTAATTCTTTAAAACCATCAAGCAAAAAACAAGCAAAACCCCCCACAAAACCCTGCAACCAGAGGAAGAATTTTTGACATCTGATAGACTTGATTTTGGCCTCTCGTTCATCAATGAATTTCAAAAACAACTGCAAATATTTTGCTCACCTTTAATACACTGTTGTGCAACATTTTACGATAAGACATTTTAAAGCATTTCAAATTAAATTTGAACAGATTTCACCACTTCTAACTTTCACATACTAAGCTTTGGCTTAGAAAACAAAGAAAATTAACATATTTTCTCTGATCAGCTTTAACTGATGGGAAGGTACAATCCTTTCAGCTTAACAAGGGACTCATTTCTTCCGTTGTGGCTGCGACTTCACAGAACACTCAAGTCAATACCAAGAGAAGCCTGGAAAGAAGCTGAAGCTGATTTTAAATACCCACCATGAAGTTCAAAGTGACAGTTCTTAGCATGATATCAAAGAATAGTGGTTATAAATTATTAAATCCAAATATCAAATCAATCTTCATGTTTGACTAGTAATGTGCACAACTGCTAAAGGGGACAACTATCACGAACACACATTTCTTCAGACTTAACAATGCAATCTTAAGCAGAGGAACACCCTTCTAAGCCTTCAAAGGAGTAAGAAGGGTGTAATTCTGTTTAGGATTGCATTGTTTCCCCAAATTTCAAAATTATCCTAGCTGCACATTTAAACACAGGTGCTAACGGACCAGGTAAACTAATTTTCCTGAGGCAATAAGACCTACATTGGTTCAGGCTTCTGAGTGTATTGCACAGTAAAACGTCTACTAAATAATGCAGATAATGATAGAGTTTTAGAAAATTACGCATGGGATAGAGAAGGTAAAGAAATAAGTACTTTTCTCTTTTCCTCACAATACGAGAACTCATGGGCACTCAATGAAATTGATGAGCAGTAGGTTTAGAACACTCAAAAAGGAAGTACTTCTTTGCACAAAGAGTAATTAACATGTGAAATTCACTGCCGCAAGAAGTGGTGGCGGCTATTAGCATGGACAGCTTCAAGAGGGGATTAGATAAACATATGGAGTAGAGATCCATCAGTGGCTACTAGCCACAAAATATAGATGAAACACTATGTGTGGAACAGTGATGCTCTGCATTCTTGGTGCTTGGGGGGGGGGATTGTGGGAGGGCTTCTGGAATTCTGGTCCTGCTGGTGGCCCTCCTGAAAGGAACCCAGGTTTTGGCCATTGTGTGACACAGAACATTGGACTGAATGGGCCACTGACCTGATCCAACATGGCTTCTCTTATGTTCTTATGTTCCAACATACCATTTTTCATATTTGGTCTCAACTTGAATAACTAAACAAGTTTAGAAATTGAAATTTTATATATATGTAGTATCATATTTATTTTTCAATATGCAACAGTACATTAAAAAAGTAACTTCCAGGTTAGAAATATTAGCAACTGAACACCTGCTACCAAGTAAGAATCCCAGCATGTTAATATCTGCTGCCAGAAACTGAACAAAAGACAACCAATTCCTTTCTTGTTCTATAGTTTCAAGTATCAACATCCTACAAATCCTATTCAACATGGATTAAAAGGTTAACTCTGCTCAATTCGCCCACATACACAAACACACACTCTCTCAATACCCTTACCAATGGAATTTTAGGAGTGTGTTTATGATGTTTTCAAGTGTGTTTACAATGGTAAACACAGACCTGGAACCCTGCACGGTGGTAGCGCGAGATTGGCAAAGAAAAGGCAGAAGGCAGGGGAAGGTTTAAGTAACCCCTAATAGTTCTCTGCTGAAAATTGGCACTTCCTGAATTTTGTGTGCCTAAAACAATTGCTCTGGTTTAAATCCATGCATTTGCATTCCACGTGTCATTTGGGAACTGGCTCCTTGCAACTTGTTCCTTGCTATACTAAAACATCCAATAGG